CTTCGCATCATTACTGATTTTATCCTAACCAAAACAGAGATTTAGCTTGTTACAATATATTCTTTCCTCATTAATAACTGGGTTTCTTAATCACTTTTACCTTTGCCCTTTTGAATTATGTGCACTTTTTTCTGTACACTTATAAATTATCAATTGTTATACACGTAAAATACACGTATACACCTTATTATCGTTGACTCAACTAATTAGCACTCAGCACCAACTTATACAATACTGACTTCTCTGCCATTCTATGGGCTATTTATATGTTCGGTTTATTCTTGGAATATTTCCAGACCCCACATTTTCTCAAATCTTCTTATTACATCTTATACTACCGCTAACTCTTTTCCTCTAGTCGATCAGACAATTTGGTATCATTACTCCTATCATCTCTCTTATTTCTTTACATATGTTATCATTTGGCATACATCCATTCAATTGTCCCTGTTTAATGTCCGACATTTCAAAATTTTAAATAAATCCGACATTTTCTGATTTTGTGAACATGCCATCTACCTTACTTGCTTGTACTTACAAGACGTGTTTTATTCATGAATGAATTAGGTTCCACTACTAAAAAAGTGGTTGGCAACGCGGTTCACCATTTGCTTCACATCAATAAAGTTTTCTAGATATAATAGCACATTTTTTTGTAATTTTTTATAAAACATTTTATTAATCTATTTTTCTTTTCAGGTTTCCCCCGCAGTCTTGGAAAAAACATTGGATTATTCTCGGCCATAAGGAATAACGTCATCCGTGGACAAGTTGGCTGACTTTTTGTTATTACTTGGCCGAGAAAAACATGTATTTTTCCTTGACTGTGATCATGGAGTAATTGGGTTCGGGGACAGTCGCGTCAAAACCCGGACGCACAGGAGGCTGCCCTGCCTTTATGGATGAATCCCAATAAAGGGTCATCCCAACGAAAAAGAGCACACACCAAATATTGTGCTAAATTACAACCACCCTGGCAAATATATACTAACCCCTTAGAACAAACATAATGGACACGGCAGGCCAAAAGAGGCATTACAGTGGCTTGTCATCCCGAGAGTGTCCATTGTAGCTACCTCCAGCTCCCCCAACTCTACCGCATAATGGGAGCTGGTGGAAACTCGTGGTTAGTGGCTACCTCGTAGGCGAAAAAAGCCACTTCCTAAGGCCCCTCCACGCAAATTTTTTTTTTTTTTTTGCTTTTGACAAAAGACTGCGTTTAAGCAACCCCGCAACAACTCTTAGAAATTATATCTGGAAAATATTTATCTATAAATGTTTTTCGTCTTAGTTCCAGATAAGTATATAATAACAGCTTCCTATCTTTATCCGTTCTACCGTATCCAATAATCAGTACTACATTGGTATTTTTTGTACCATTTAGTACGAATACCCAGCCTTATCACGCGCCTATGCACTAACACTAACCTACATGCAAAATATTAAGATTCGTTTGGGCGTTAAAGATCAGTCAGTCACTTATAACGCAATTATATATAGACTCTTTTATATTAGGCAATGCCAATTTCTATCCTATTAACTTGTTGATGGCGCTCGGAGTAATTATACTTTTATTTTAGAAGCCACATACACGAATTCCAAACTCTACCGCTTATAATCGCTCAATACCCCTGTAAAATTTTTAGTAGTTTCAAGGCCTTTTAGAACCCATTTAATAAGAAACTTCATCAATACACTATTTTGTGAGCGTACAAGTACTAATTTCCAAAATTTGTTCATACATTCCCCTATTGCCTATCACTGACAAAGCTGCATACCAAATTTCAGAGTTCTACATCGAAACGTTCCAGTGTAATATAGTTTTAGTACTTTTTAGAATCATTTAGTACTAATTTCCAAAAAATATTTTCGCACAACATTCTATTTGTAATAGCTTAAGCTACATATCAATTTTCAGATAAGTATCTCTACTGGTTCTATTTAAATATAATATTTAGTACTTTTTAGTACCTCTTTGTACTAAATTCCAATTTTTTTTTCACACATGCCCTTTGCTTTATAATTGACAAAGCTGTATACCAAATTTCAGAGTTCTACTTCCAACCGTTCCGGCGTAATAAAGTCTTAGTTCCTTTTAGTACCATTTTAGTACTAATTTCCGACAAATATTTTTGCACGTCGTTCTTGTTTTAATAGCGTAAGCTACATACAAAGTTTTAGATATGTTTCTTCACCGATTCCATTCAAATATAATATTTAGTACTTTTTAGTACCTCTTAGTACTAAATTACAAAATTTGTTCACACATACCACTTCGCTTATCGCAGGCAAAACTACATACAAAATTTCAGAGTTCTACATCTAACCTCTGCCGCGTAATGCAGTTTTTAGTACCTTTTAGTACGAATTTCCAAAAACCCTGCCTAAAAATTATAGGGTACTTTCGTCGTGGAACTGTGCGTCCAACTTGAAAGCGTGAAGAGCTTTAAGACAACCTTTTTGATCGGTTACATATCGGTTACTAATCGAACCGTGGACTTTACGGTGTATAGAATAAATTCGAATCATCTATTGGTATATAAGTAATTAAATTGTTTTTATACCCTCCACCATAGTATGGACGGTATATTAATTTTGTTTTTTCCGTTTGTAGCTCATCGAAATAATCATTTCCGACCCTATAAAGTATATATATTCTTAATCAGCGATTTGCCCATGTCTGTCTGTTGTAATCACTCTAGCCTCTAAACGAATTGAGCTAGATCGCCAAAATGTTGCATACAGTCGTCAAGCAGTTTTTCAACCGAATTCGCAGTAATTGTTAATATTCGCCCTCTTTTAGGGGTAGTCCACATATAACCCCCTTGTTATACCCTTCACACTGAGATACAGGGTATTATGTCTTTGTGCATATGTTTGTATCATGCGAAAGGAAAGGATTTGGCATAGCCAACTAAATTATGTCTAGAATGATGTGTGTTAAGTTTCGTGAAATCAGATTTCGATATAGCCCCCATATATAATTTCGTCCGATTTTATGTAAATGTTGTACTAAAGTGCCTGTATATATTTCGATTTGGATGAAATTTGGCACATTGTACTGAATTATGTTTGGAATGATGTGTGTTAAGTTTGGTGAAAATCGGTTCAGATTTATTTATATATAATGCAAATTTACTGAAACTTCGGAAGGAAAATGGAAATGTAAAAATTGTGTCTTTTTGACAATATTTAACCCTTTTTCTTTGATTACATCCCATATTTTTTGGTGAATGTTGCAAATTAACTTCTGTGAGAATTTTTATCTTCAGTGTTATCCTGTTCAAATATATGTGTTTAAGAAGTTGTCTGATTTTATGTTCAATCACTTCTGATTTTATTGAAAATATAAATCCACTCCGTATTTTTGTTCGATTTCTTATATATGGGGCACCAAATCGGAACAGGTTTAGTGTAGCGTACTGACTTGAGACTAGATTTAGACATAGCTTGCACTACCTAATTCATACAAATTTTTAAAATTTTAACAACACTTTTAATGTGTTTTATTATTATGGAGTCCAACACCAACACTTATCATCATATTGACAAATGAATTTAAACAGTATTATAGTAAAAGTCCAGATTGCATAAATTGGGTCAGAATAGAAACAACTTGAACTGAAAACTCTCAAAAACATTGTCATCTTTCTCTTAAAATTTGCTATGTAATTGTTTTTAGTCTAGAATCTGGTTCTATTAGTCATTAGTTATTTCTTTATTAGCATACAGCCAATATATAGATATATTAAAATTAAATCAATGCAAATTATAGCCCGAATTGTTTTTTTTACTGCAACTATCAATGAAATTTAATATATGAATTAAAATAAATAAAAATAATACCAAAATATTCCGCAATGGGATATTTTTTCTAAATCAGGTTCCATTTATTCTTTCAAAAAAATAATAGCCGGACTAATTCCAAACGATGAGTATAAAAACAAGCTGGTAATCTATGGCTGCAGTAGTTGCAATTCGGTAACGCATTTTGAAATATCATCTTCACGGAGAACATTTTTGCAAGAAATTAAAATGAAATTCTTCATTGCCTTGTTCGTGTTGGCAGCAATTGTTTGCTGCACCTTTGGCCAACCAACATATCAACAGGCTGAAGTGGCTGAAACTTTGGAGGGTGCCGATGGCAATCTAGCTGTAGATGCTGATGCAGGTTCCGCTCGCAAAGTACGTTACGGATTCTATCCTGGAGGCTTTGGCGGTGGTTTCTATCCACGATTCGGTGGATTGGGTGGATTCGGCGGTGGTTTCGGCGGTAGCTCTTCTGTAGCCTATGCACGTTCAAGTAGTTTCGGCGGTGGTTTGGGCGGTGGTTTCTTTGGTTAAAATCTTGAAATTGTAACAAAAATAATAAAATTAGTTTTAAAATTAAAATTGGTTGTGTTGCCTTGTTTATTGGTGTGAGAAGAAGTGAACATTTTACGCGCTTTTAATATTGCAAAGGACATTTAGTCGGCAAATAAAGTTCCTGTAAAAAAGAAGGATATGTGTATAGTAACAAATGAGAATGCTTGTGTGTCAAGAATTACATATATTTATAGAAAAGTTATATATAAAATGTATATTTTTAGGAAAGATTTTATTTATGTCTTGCTGACTCGGAATACTTTGTTTTTGCCTTAAAACATGTGTATCAATATAATTTTAGAAGCAATTGATGAATTCATGGAAAATATATTTGAAAATGATCGCGCTATTTTGTTTAAAAATCTACTTTCATACGACAATGTTTGTTTTCGCGTTCAATCTAAGAAATGTTCCTTCTGTTTCTATAAACGATTTTTTTTAAAATTCGTCAAGGTCCAAAAAATTTCCTATATGACGATATTACAAAAATTTGAATATTTCTACCACAATTTCCACTTCTGTCAAATTTGCTCTATATATAGATGAATATTTGTCATTTGTTTGAAATATTTTCAAAATACTTCATATTTTCAAATCTTCATCAACAAAATCAGTTTTATACTAAAAATGTTGGTTAGGTCCTATCATAACGTGAGTTTTCTCCTAGGAGTCCCTTTAATTTTAGATATTTTGAATGTCAACCTCAGAACTAAAATTATGTTTATGACGTGATAACAAAACCCAAACAATTGATTTAGATTATTTAGAGATTCATAATCGATATCAGTAAAATAATAAATAAAATGTGGAAGTAAAAAAACAATAAATGTATACAATATATTATTTTTATTACAGATATTTTAAAATACATAGAGGCCTGTCATATCAATTTATGCTTTTTATTTTTTATATTTTCATCGATTCAATACGATGTTTTGTGACTTGTGACTTATTTATTTAAAGGACGAACTCTATTGAAATTGGAGAAAATCGGTTCAGGTTTAGATATAGCTCCCATGTATAGTTTCGTCCGATTTTAGTTAAATGCTGCACCAAAGTTCCTATATATCTTTCGATTTGTACGAATTTCGGTAGAGCGTACTGACATAAGTCGAGTATGATGTGTGCTAAGTTTCGTAAATATCAGTTCAGATTTGGATATAGCTCGTCCGAATTTATGTAAATGGTGCACCAAAGTCCGTATATATGTTTCGATGTGCACAAAATTTTACATAGCGTACTGAATTGAGTCTGGAATGATGTGTGCTAAATTTCTTGAAAATCGGTGCAGATTTAGATATAGCTTTCATATATATTTTTGTCCGATTTAATTTAAAGTGTGCACTAAAGAACCAAAGTTTGACGATTGGCACATAATTTTGTAAAATGTACTGAAATTACTATAAACTTACGTGTGTCAAGCTTTCTTGAAATCGGTTCAGATTTACATATTGTTCTTATAAATACATTCGTCTGAATGTATATATGCACTAAAGACTGGTAGCTAGGCCGATTGACACAACGTACTGAAATGTATAATATAGTCGGCCCAGTCGACATTTTATGTACAACCTGAGGTAAATGTATTTCTAAAACTAATTTATTTATTACTATTAATATAACTTCAAAATTATGGATTCAAAATTTATTGAATCAAAATTAATGAATGTGCTCACACGACGGCTGAGTAATACGAATCATCAAAAGTGTCCCGGGGCTCGGGTTTATTTTGCGTTTTTAAGCCCTTATAATGCTTAGGTTTTCGATTGTCAAAAAGGTGTAAAACCGAAAACGTCATATACCTGTATAAATTTGTAATATATGTAGTAATCGTGATTTATTTGAATAATATTACCATATAAATTTATTTTCTAAACTTTCTGGAGAAGTAAATTTTGAAATTTGATATGAATTTGAGTAAAGAATACGCAATTTCCAAATTGATTTGGCTGGGTTTCCGACGTTTTATATTATTATATTATACGTCGGAAATGTATGTTAATTATGTTACCGTTTCTGACGAACCATCATTGATTGATATATAGATTTGAAGACGAAATTTTTCTGTGAAGACGCGTTTAAATACTAAAAATCCAAAATTCCATATTATGGCCATTTTGGTTGGAAAGTGCAACGAGGGATATAAAAATACCTGAAGTCTACACACAGTCGAACAGGGTTATTACATTTCAATGGGACCGAACAATTTAGTCCATTATAGAGTTAGAAAGAATATTTTGTCAAACCCATATATGTATGTACAAAATAATGAGGGAAAATATTTTTTACGTTTATTTCATCTTAAAAATGTTAATGATTCCTGGATCACATGGTTGTAGAGCATTTATGATGTTTGATGGAAGGAACGAAAACTGAATCAACTTAAGAGCTATGTCAGGACAATTAATTAAAATAACAATTTTCTTAGTTCGTTATAAACGTTGAAATCGAAGCCAAGATTCACTGTGTGGGTCTCAAAAGCTAGATCACTATAATAATGTGATTTGTATTAAAAATAGGCAACAAATATTGGGACCGGTAAAAACAGTTTGCTATTCACATAGTTATTTATAACCGGTGTTCGTTATATACGCGTTCGACTGCATATTGAACATATTATACAAATACATTATTCGCCCTCCAAAATCCGGAAAGCAAACCTACTGAAAAATGTGCAGACAAAAATCATACATTCTATTCTGATAAACCGTTTTGATTTCAGTTCAAACAGCAGAATTATAACAAAATCCAGATTTCATAAATTGGGTCAAAATAGATAAAACTTCAAATGAATTCTCTCAAAAACATTGTCATCTTTCTTTTAAAACTACTATGCAAGTACGTTTTAATCTAGATTCTACTTCCATTAGTCATTAGTAATTTCCATATTAGCATATAACCAATATCTAGATATAGGTATAGACAGACTGCAACCATCCGCAATGGTATTTTTTTTCAAATCAGGTTCCATTTATACTTTAAAAAAATAATAACCGGAATAATTCCTAATGAAGAGTATAAAAACAAGCTAGTAATCTATGGCTGCAGTAGTTGCAATTCGGTAACGCATTTTGAAATATCATCATCACGGAGAACATTTTTGCAAGAAATTAAAATGAAATTCTTCATTGCCTTGTTCGTCTTGGCAGCAATTGTTTGCTGCACCTTTGGCCAACCAACATATCAACAGGCTGAAGTCGCTGAAACTTTGGAGGGTGCCGATGGCAATCTAGCTGTAGATGCTGATGCAGGTTCCGCTCGCAAAGTACGTTACGGATTCTATCCTGGAGGCTTTGGCGGTGGTTTCTATCCAGGTGGCTATGGCGGTGGTTTTTATCCACGATTTGGTGGTGGTGGATTTGGCGGTGGATTCGGCGGTAGCTCCTCTAGCGCCTATGCAAGTTCAAATAGTTTTGGCGGTGGTTTGGGCAGTGGTTTCTTTGGTTAAAATCTTGTAATTGTAACAAAAATAATAAAATTAGTTTTAAACTTAAAATTGGTTGTGTTGCCTTGTTTATTGGTGTGTGAAGAAGTGAACATTTTACGCGTTTTAAATATTGCAAAGAACATTTTATCGGGAAGTGAAATTCCCATAAAAAAGAAGGATATACCTATACTATGGCTTGGGAGCGGGAAACACCCGGGACGTTTCCCGATTTTTTGATGCCTATATTGAGGAAATATTTTCAATTGTTGGAAATCAAATAAGAAACAGCATTGGTAGTTGAATATTTTTTCAAATAATAATATATACAAATAGTTTTAAATACAATGCGTTGCAATAAAATACGGAAAAAATCTGAAAGGGACAAAAATCTGAAAATAATTTCAGTTATCCGAACTTCTCATAAGCGAACAATGTTTTCAGTTTAAGAAATTTCAATAATTCATATTTTACATCGAATACGTAGGTTTCGAATTTTATGAAAATAGACGATCGAAAGTGAAACTGGTTGACATGTTCACAGCTAAAGTTATTTTTATTATGAACTGTCTTTTTTATGCGTGTTATTAAAATGCCCGGCTTGTAACGAATCTTATATATTATGTGGTCTATAATATAATATTTATGATAGATTGATTGATTTTGAAAACGGAAAATATCGGTCCATTTCTTTGAAAAGGTTTCATACTATCCGTTTTAAGTCTTGCCTGTAATATGGGGTTGTGTTCCTATTTCAAATTTGATTATCATCTTGAAGGCTTTAAATAATAACTGAGAGTAGTAAATAGTGGACGACCTCCTCAAAAATTTGATTATTATATGGGACCTTGTTTTAACATTTCCCCTATGAATGGTATATTTTATAACATATCGTTGTACATCTTTATTACTTGTATATAAAATATAAAAATGCGGAACAGATTTTTTGCGAATTTTCCAAATATGTTAAACAGTTTGGCAGCATGAATTTAACGTTCTGCAAAATATTCTGTCATTATCTTTCATTCTCACAATTTTCAGCAATACGGAGTTATTTGAAAGGACATTGGAATATTAGACTCCAAAAGCTATTTCAGTTATCCGATATTTTCAGTTAAGCGACTTACAGTAAAGCGGAGTCGACTGTACTTAAAAAATGTCCGGGAATTCCCGGGAATGAAAATGTTTAGTTCGCGATTTCCTGTGCGTGAAAAAATTCGGGAATTTCCAAACCCTGATCGATATTAACAAACAAAATAGTTATAGAAAAGTTATATTCAAAATGTAAAGCGATATTTATATTTGTTAAGAAATATTTTATTTATGACATGCTGACCCGGAAAACGATGTTTTGCTTTAAAAAAATTTTCATCAATATAATTTTAGTAACAATTGTTGAATTCATGGAAAATATATTTGAAAGGGATATACGCGACAGCTGATTGCGCTATTTTGCTGTTAAATCTACATTCATACGACAATATTTGTCTTACCGTTGAAAGTAAGATATATTCCTTCAGTTTCTATAAAAGAAAATATTTTTTTAGAACTTCGTCAAAGTCCAGAATATTCTCTATATGGCGATATTACAATAATGGCGATTTATGTAAACCCTAATGTACACCAAATACCAATTTCAGCAATTTTTAATGGGGATTTTTCCTAAAATCTAAAAACCCCAAAACGTGGACTGATACTGATAAAGTATGATAGAGTATAAAATCCTCAAATTATTGTAATTTAGATTACAAAGTTATACGATTACATAGTGTAGGATATATGACCGATATATGTCACTTTCAAACCCAATATTTTAGTTTCGTATCTCAATTCTTTCCTTCAGGAGGTATCATTATACTAGGTAGATGCCTAAATGCTGTAGGATAAAAACTGACTATTTCGAGTAACGACTATCCTCCATACTATGGCTAAATATTTTATTACAAACCAGTAAGGAAAGTTCAAAAGTCGAACGGGGCCGAATATATGATACCCTTCACCACTTTGGGTACATACAAGAGATGATAATATGTACAATATCCTGTTGATAGAATCTTTGGATGACCATTGGCATAGAATCGGATGGAAAACAAATGTGATCTACATAGATATTTGAACCAATAAGAAACCATACAGATACCATTCTGATATCTATAAACAAATTGCATGTTAATCGGGCAGACTCCAATTTTTTGTGTAACATTTGTATGAAATCAGGAAAATTTTATATGGGAGATATATGTAAATGAACCGATTTCAACAAAACTTCACACACAACAAATTGGACTTAATTCTGTATACTTGGCATACATCAATCTGGACCTAATTCAGTACTTTGTGCAAAATTTTGTGTCAATCGGACCAATATTGACAGTATGGTGCTCCATTTACATAAAATCGGACGAAACTATATATGGCAGCTATATTTAAATCTGGACCGATTTCAACAAATCTTCACAGATGTCAAACTGGACTGAATTCAGTATGCTGGGCAAAATTTATAATTTTTTGGGAGTTTGGTGCACCACTTACATAAAATCGGACAATTCTATATATGGAAGCTATATCTAAATCTGAACCGATTTCAACAAAACTTTACGGATGTCAAACTGTGCGAAATGGTGTACCAATTGGGCAAATATTTTCAGTTTAGTGCACCAATTACCTAAAATCGGACCAAACTATATATATAACTCATATATCAATCTGGGCTTATTTCAGTACTCTATGCAACATTTTATCTCAATCGGACCAATATTGACAGTATGGTGGTCGACTCAGAAACTGATTCTATGCATATTCCCAAAAGGAACCATGTGTGGGGGCTACCAGAGATATTTGATACCCAATAAGAACCCAATGTAGCAAATTTCAGCGTATTCGGTTGAAAAGCGCGCTCAAGAACCCCAAAATATCGAAAATTGTGTGGTAGCCTTATATGCCTAACCGTGGACCGATATATCCCACCTAGCTCAATCGTTTAGACGCTAGAGAGATTACAACAGGCGGACATGCTTAAATCGTCATAGAATTTTAATCTGATGAAGAATATATATATGTATATACTTTATTTCGATTACAAACGGAAAATCTAAATACCCTCCATAATTATATTCAAGGCAATGGGAATATAAATGATTGTAGAATGCAAGTATCCGTCATAATATTTTTTGGAAGATAATTCGCTAATAATATTCTTTTTTAATTTCGTACTCTGCTGAATTCCCAGGTGATGGAGGTATGAAAGCTCCATCACCTGAGAATTCAGCAGAGTTGCAGCAGAATTGCATTCATATGGATTTTTTTGAAGACGAATACGAGTTTTCCTACCAAAAATCCGAAATTTCATATTATGACCATTTTGCCAACATTTCAAGGTGCTAGTAAATTCATTTTTACGCCGATTGATATTTTGCTAGATAAAATTGGATGAACAATACCAAAGTTGGGATTATTTTAAGAATTTGCGGCATATGAAAAAAATTAATTTTTCGCAAGACGAAAAAAAGTTTAGTATTCAAAATCTTTCCTTTCAGTAAAAATCTTAAATTGGCGCCCGCTTGCACAGTTTTAAAATAATTTGGATCAATAAGAATTCATTCGACGCGAAATTAAATTTGCTGTTATTTGAATGAGTTACAAGAATAAGTCCTTGAACAAACAAAAATTGCCTCAAAGTTGGAGGATTTAAAAAAAAGTTGAAAATTTGAATTTCGTTCATCTGCCGTTTCATCAGTTTTTACTATCTATCCTCTTCCTGGTAAAATGCAAAAATATGCAAATCAAATTTTTTAAGGGGAAATATTGCGTATTATTTAAAAAAAAACCAGTAAGGAAAGTAGTAAAGTCGGACAGGGCCGACAATATGATTACCTTCAACACTATGGGTATATTACACAGGACTATTATCATGAAATTGGATGAAATATTTATCTAAATGTAAAAAAGACCTAGATCTATCCATAAACATGATTTTCATTTGTTTTTGTTACAATGGGATAAAAGTATGTAAATCGACTTCAAACAAATATCAATAGGTCATCCGTTGGGCTATGTCTGTACTTCGGACGAATATATATATATATAGATCTGAACCGATTTTCACGAAACTCAGCACACATCATTCCAGTATCAATTCAGTACGCTATGCCAAATTACGTGCAAATCGAAAGATTTATGTGGACTTTGGTGCACCATTTACATTAAATCGGACGAAAATATATATGGGAGCTGTATCTAAATCTGAACCGATTTTCACGAATCTCAGCCCATATCATTCCAGCATCAATTCAGTGCGCTATGCCAAATTTTGTGCAAATCTAAAGATTTATGTGGAGTTTGGTGCATCATTTACATTAAATCGGACGAAAATATATATGGGAGCTATATCTAAATCTGGACCAATTTTCAGGAAACTTAACACACATCATTCTAGACCTCATTCATTACGTTGTGCCAAATTTCGTGCAAATCGAAAAATATATATGGACTTTGGTACACCATTTACCTTAAATCGGACAAATATATATATGGGAGCTATATCTAAATCTGAACCGTTTTTCCCAATTTCAATAGGGCTCCTCCTTGGGGCAAATAGGCGAGCTGTGCCAAATTTCATCCAATTCGGATCATAAATGCGACCTGTACTTTGGTTACAATTTAACATCAACGGACGGACATGCATAAATCGACTTGGACACTTTCTACGCATATTCTCAAAAGGAACAATGTGTCCATCTCTTTTCCTTCTGCCTGTTAAAAACATATGCACAAAGACATAATACACAGGGTACCACAGTACGCTATGCCAAATTTCGTGCAAATCGCAAGATATATATTGGGGCTTTGGTGCACCATTTACGTGAAATCGGACGAAACTATATATGGGAGCTACATCTAAATCTGGAGCGATTTTTACGAAACTTGGCAGACATCACTCTAGGCTCAATTAGGTACGTTATGCCAAATATCGAAAGATATATAGGGACTTTGGTGCACCATTTACATGAAATCGGACGAAACTATATATTGGAGCTATATCTAAAACTGGACCGATTTTCATAAAACTTGGCAGACATCAGTCTAGGCTTAATTCAGTACGTTATACCAAATTTCGTGCAAATCCAAAAATATATAGGGACTGTGGTGCACCATTTACATTAAATCGGTCGAAAATATATAGGGCTCGTCCTTTGGTCCTGTGCCAAATTTCATCCAAATCGGATTATAAATGCGACCTGTACTTTGTTTACAATTTAAAACCAACAGACGGACGCACGGACGGACGGACATGCATAAATCGACTCAGAAAGTGATTCTATGCATATGGGTCTATCTCGTTTCCTTTTGCACAAAGACATAATACCCTTTACCACAGTGTGGTGAAGGGTATAAAAAGGACGGTTTTTGGCCATAACTTCAGATTTTCAGGGTGTATTGAAAATTCTAAAAATGCAGTTTTACTCAGCTTTTTAAGGCACACAAGATGTACTAGGTTTCTATAAAAGTTGCGACAATTTTTGTCAATTTGTACCATAGGGTAATCGGTTCAGTTAGCAGATTTATCTTTTAGAACTGCTATGCAATTGTTTTAGTCCAGAATCTGGTTATATCAGTCATTAGTTATTTCTTATTAGCATATAACCACAGATAGACTGCAACCATCCGCAAGGGTATTTTTTTCAATTCAGGTTCCATTTATTCGTTCACAAAATATTAGAGGCATTAATTGCAAACGATGAGTATAAAAACCAGCTAGTAATCTATGGCTGCAGTAGTTGCAATTCGGTAACGCATTTTGAAATATCATCTTCACGGGGAACATTTTTGCAAGAAATTAAAATGAAATTCTTCATTGCCTTGTTCGTGTTGGCAGCAATTGTTTGCTGTACCTTTGGCCAACCAACACATCAATACGCTGAAGTGGCCGAAACTTTGGAGGGTGCCGATGGCAATCTAGCTGTAGATGCTGATGCAGGTTCTGCCCGCAAAGTACGTTACGGATTCTATCCCGGTGGCTATGGCGGTGGTTTCTATCCAGGTGGTTATGGCGGTGGTTTTTATCCACGATTCGGTGGTGGTGGATTGGGCGGTGGATTCGGCGGTAGCTCCTCTAGCGCCTATGCAAGTTCAAGTGGTTTTGGCGGTGGTTTGGGCGGCGGTTACTTTGGTTAAAATCTTGTAATTGTAACAAAAGTAATAAAATAATTTTTAAAATTGAAATTGGTTGAGTTGTTTTATATATTAGTGTACGAAGAAGTGCAAATTTTAGGCGGTTTTAAATATCGGAAAGAACATTTAATCGGAAAGTAAAGTTACTGTAAAAAAAGAATGATGATGAATTCTAAAATGTAAAAATGTTTCTGTGGGTCTTATGTTACATATCGTCATCATAAACGCAAACGGACGTAACTACAGAAAAATTTTAAATATCTAATTTAACTACATGTTCACACAAACATTTAGACATCTAACGTCAAAAACAGCGACCTAATAAAATTACCACACTGTGGTACAGGGTATTATGTCTTTGTGCATATGTTTGTAACAGGCAAACGGAATCGAGATAGACCCATGGTTCCTTTTGAGAATTAGCATAGAATCACTTTCTGAGTCGATCTACGCATGCCCGTTTGTCCGTCCGTCCATGTATTAGGTCCAGACTGATGTTTGCGATTTTTTTTTTAAATCGGTTCAGATTTAGATATAGCTCCCATATTAACCCTGTATGACCAAATGTTGCCCACAGGCAAAACATGTTTTAGAGCTTATATTTATTTTATAGCTAGTAGATATGCATGCTATGTCAAGACCTGATTATGAACGACACATATCACAAGAAAAATCTAAAAAAATCAAATTCAAATAAAGTTATGAGCTTTTTAATATAGAGAAGAGGACGTGTACAGTACTAATTTGTGTATACAGTCCAAATTATTCAAATCGCTTCGAAATCTGTCATAAGAATTATTTTTGATTCTTGTAAAACAGAATATAGATAGTAATTTAAAATGATTTTTTCGTCGATTTTGCATTTGGTTTTCTTGACATTCGGATTTTAATTTTCAGAAAGAATGTATTGTATCTCCCGAACGGAAGGATGTAGCGATGTCAAATTTTGTCCATATACTATCTAGGATAGTTACATTAAATCTGTGAACAGAAAATTGTTCTATGATTATGGAAAAAAAATTCGGGGCTCAAAGAGTTAAACGCCTTGCAGAAATGTATTAAAATCTTCAATAAGACTACATCTTATTAATCTACATCGAATTTTGTAAACACAAAAATATAAACAAATTGTTTACAGCAAAAAAAAAAAAAAAAAAAAAAAAAAAAAACACCAAAACACCTTGACTTATGCTTTCAGAATAACAGTTTTTCATATTTTTTGTGTTCAGCATTTTTGAAACCCACTGTCCAGCTATTTGAGAATCAGTTTCTGCTTTGTTTTATGGAAAATGTATACACTTTGAAACTGTTCAACATAAAATAAATACATATTATATACATTATTTAAAAAAAGTCCCGATGGTGGGTTTTTTTTGAAGAGCTAATTGTTTGTTCGATTGCAAACATGAATTTAACATTAAAATCGAAATGAAAACAAAAACAAAATTTCTTCGCAATGGTGTTCCTCAAATCAGGTTCTTATTTTTATGGTCTTATGTGCACAATCGCCGGCTAATTCAAAAATGCGGTTGCATTGAGATAAAGCTTTTAGAATTATCTTCTTAAAAAAATTAATAATAATCCAAGAATACAAAATGAACACATCCATTGCTCTTTTGGTATTATTGGCAATTGTTTGCTCAACCTTCGGCCAACAGCATAAACATGTGCAAGTGGCGGAAACTTTATAAGGCGTCGATGGCAATCTAGCCGTTGATGCTGATGCAGGATCAGTACGTAATGCCCGTTATGGTGGTAGATTTTATCCCGGTTTCGGCTATGGTGGTGGGTTTGGCGGTAGTAGCAGTTCAGCTTATGCAGGATCATCCGTTTTTGCTGGCGGCTTTGGACATTAGTTTATTAAAAAAATAATATTTAAATAAAGACTTATTTAAAAACCAGTGAGCGGAGCAGTATAGTCGGACGGGGCCGCCCATACGATACCCTACACAACTACCACGGAACTCAAATATTCTGCGGATGTTTATTCCGAGCCTGGGCAATATTTCATGATATTTGCACCCTCTTGCCCGATTAGAGGTAAACAGCACCTCTTTCTTACACTGACATATTTTCCGAATATTATGAGTATTCAGTACAGCTATTGTCCAGATTCCCTTCACCGTGGGTTGTGTTGTGATGTTCGGCTTTCATTTGTGGTCTATAGATCGACTCGAAAATAACAAAAAAAAAAAAAAAATTAAGTTTTCGGTCCACTTCATTCCAAAATTATTATCTGGTCATCACCGAAAATTATAGGCGTTGTTCTTGACCATAACTGGAACTTCATGGAACATTTCAAAGCGATCAGCGCTATAGTTCCGCTCTCTAGAGTGATAATGGGTTACTAACTAATATACGAATACGGAGATACCTGTAAATATTTAGGTGTAACTCCCACATCCGAGCACATATAACAATATAATTGGTATTAATTTAAAGGTCAACCACTCCTCTTGGATATAATATAAACTTCTCGGTCTATGTCCTTCAGGGGTAAATATATACGCTATAGAATACAAATTTTGTCATTTTTCACACAAAAGTCAGGGTCCATTTGACCCGCTAAATATTGACCGATCTTTATCAAAACAGGCATGCTTATTCTTTGGCCCGATCCCCTTCTGCATGGAAAATTTTACTATGTTCGGGCCATTATTGCGGCCTCTGGAGCGACCAGAAAAACCGACAAAAATTTATTAT